GCCCAGGTGAGGGACTGCAGACCGGCACCGCTGGGCTCAGCGGCACCTGTAGGGAAGAGCCTGGAGAAGAACTGCTGAGAACTGCCCAAGACAACCATGGGACAGCTCTGAAATAAGGAAGGATGTGCTGAGCTATGTCCAAAAGTGTTATTTCTGCAGCAGGCATGTCACTGGCATGACTCCTGTAACCTTCCACATCTCCGTTGCTTTTCCTCCAGCGATCCCCTGTGTCGTATCTCAGTGGAGTGCCTGGAGTGGCTGTGCAGAGCCTTGCAAGACAACCTATCGCGTCCGGACGAGGCACATCATCCAGGAGCCCAGGAACGGGGGAGAATCATGTCCTGCTCTGGAGGAGAGGGCTGGCTGCATGGAGTACTGGAGTCGGCAGGGAACAGAGTGCCAGCAGTCCCTCAGTAAGTCCATGGAAAAGTGCCTGGATAGTCCTGGGGAGGACTCTGGTTTGGGTCAGCAGAGCTGTGTTTTCCTCTGTTTGAAGGATTGTTTTTAGGCAGTGGTATGTTTGCTGTGGGCCTGCCTGGGCTAATTGAGAACTGAGCTCTTCACGTAAGAGCTTAGACAAGTCCTTCATGGGACAATGGTGAAAGTGGTGCCTACCATTTGCTGTGATCCACTGTGTTCCAAAAGTGAGATGTTACAGGTCTGCTCTGCTCTCACTTATACAAGTGCAAATCTCTGGAAATTTTGGTGAGATTGGCAGATTTATGTCTCTTTAAAACTTCTGTGAGTGAATGTTGCACACTTATTTTTTTCATATATATATATAAAAATATATATATATTTCTAAAGCTAAAACCCTATGAAATTAAAAGCCCATCTTTTCTATTCTGCAGACATAATGAGCCTTAAAGCACCATTGCCACTGACACTCTGTACCCTTTCTCTTTGGTATACACAGTCCCAGCATTAATAACTACGGGAGGCTTTGGAAAAGCGAGGAAGAAAAGAGCTGCAGCTGATGGCAGTGAAAGGGCAGGGTAAGTTGGAGGTTGTGGCTCAGGGACGTGGCTGTGCTCCACCCGCAGAGCCTCTCTGGTTGCAGGTGGGAGAGCATCACGAGGAAAACCTTTACAGTCCAAATCTTAGCTCCCATCACAACCGGCTCTACAAAACCCATTCTAAGTAACTGAGGGGAGACGATAGAGGAAATGTGGCTCAGCAAGTGGATACCAGACTTGGAATTAGATTAGTCAAATGCTTGACCAGTCTGTCTCCCTGTTGGTAAAAACAGATGCCAGTCATACCTGATACTTTTTATATGTTAGCTGAAAGCCTCAGAAGAGTAGTTTTATCCCCTGTTTATTAACTTTGTCAAAATTCAGGTACATGACATGTTCTGCTCTTAATGACCTTGGAGGGGGGGGATTTTTTGGTGCGGTTTGGTTGTTCTCAATCAGAGGTCTGTGGTGTGGCAGGCGCGTGCCTGCAGTTTGAGCTGAGCTGGCTGTTGTGTTGCAGGTACTGCGTGCAGTTCCGGCTGGTGTCCCTGGCGCCGGGCTGCCGGCACGGCCAGCGCTGGATGAGCGGGCTCCGGGAGGGGCTGCGGCTCTGCGTGGAGTGCCAGCCCCCAGCCCTGCACCGCCCGGGGCAGCCCTGCCGCGGGGACGGCGCCGCCAGCCCGCAGTGAGAGCTTTACCCTTGGCTTCATGTGGAATTTCTGATTCTTCCCCCTCGAGACACTTGTTTCAGGGGCACAGTGCGCTGCATGCAACTCTCTGGAGAAATCAGGGGTCTTTGGGCTCTCTGTGGGCAGCTCTCTGCACAGAGCAAGAGTTGATGCAGTTGTGGTAGCTGTGCTTCTCCAGGGGTCAGGGATGGGAGATATTGATGTGAGAAATTTCCTTAAACCTTAAATTATAAAATCCTCAAATCCAAATCCTTAAATGATAAAATCTGGGAAAGGGCACAGTGCTACAGAAAAGTGTCTGTTCCTGTCACTGTTAGGTTTTACTTCACATTAGTACAACCTGTGGGCCTCTCTGTGGCTGCTGCTGCTTTACAGGGTAGAGAGGCAGAATCGGGCCCATGGAGTAAAAAGGGATGTTACAGACTAAATGGGATTTGCTGGGTGATTTAAGCCTTATTGTACCTCGTGGTGACTGCCCTGCAGGGGAGGTGCAGCTCATTTTCTCTCACTTTAATGACTGTTTCAGGAATCAGCTGTTGCACTGGCAGGCGGTGGGGAACCATCGATGCAAGGGAACCTGGAGGAGAATTCGCCGGCTGGACACTTGTTCCTGCCCTTCTGTTCACAGTTTCTTGTTCATCTGACCTCTCCTGGCAGTCCCTGCAAGCCCCAGTGTGCGGCAGCAGCAGAGCCCCAGCCAGAGCAGGGACTGCTCCGTGTCAGAGACTTTGCTTTCCCTGCCTTTCCAGAGGTGCTGGCTGGACACAGCCACCTGGAATCCTCTGTGTGTGTGTGTGTGTGTGTGCGCTCCTCAATTTCCAAGGAAATCAGGTGGGAACTGCCAATCTCTTTTTTCCCTGAGAGAATCTTGTCTGACCTTGATGACTTCTTGCAATTACTCCTTTCTTGAAAGGAATGAGAATTTACCAAATAACAAATCAAACAAAAAAGGCCATAAGAAATCAGGTTTAATTATTATTTTTTAAAAGTCTTAATGAAGAATCAACAATGCAAAATAAATTAATCCAAGTGCCTTCTTTTTGTGGCAACAGCGCTTTGTGGATACTTCCTGCTCTTGCTTGTGATTCTGTTCCTTCTATTTTCATCCTCCCTTGTCTCATAATTTCATTTGGCCCTCAGTCTTAGAGAGGGTTGATCTTGTGCTGCTGAGGTAATGACAGAACTTAGAAATGTGCTTGTCAGATCTGTGGGAATAGAGACAAACTGGCCCTTGACTTCAGCTTCAAGGAACATCTCTGAGTTGGCCCAAAATGTGATGCAGTCTCCTGGGGCTCTAAATAGGAAGTCAGCTCAGCTGTGCCAGGAGGGCTGACTATAGCCTTGTGTTTTTGACTGGGAAATACTTGAAATAGTTTCCTTATATTCTGCTTACTAATATTAATACTTTTCTATAAATGAAAATAAAGAAGACTGGAGATATTCTCCCATTATCTGTCTGTTTGATTAATGTGTGTAGGGCCATCTCTTTAGCTTCTTAACCTAATTTGTTCCAGACAGGAACTCTCTGCAGTGTGAGATTGAGGTCATTCTGTTTGTCACACCCGGGTGAGTGGCTGGGGCTGGCTCCAGGAGAGTTTTAATGCTCAGCTCCAGCTCTAGTCTGGAAGTGGATCACAAACCCCTCTAATGGCCATGCTGAAGGTCTTGCAGGGAGACACCAAGGGGCACTGTGGATTTGTGCTGCAGATGCTGAGGTGTGTGGGGAGCCAGGAGAGCTCTGGAAGCACCTGAAGCCTTTGGCCAGTGCAGTAGGGATTTGAGAACAAGGCTGTGTACAGGCTGTCTGTGAATTAAAGACTCACAGGGGTTGATCCCTCATCCCAGAGGAGGAAGATTTTAAGGAAAAAACCAAAAGGACTTGTATTTCACTGTGTAACATAACCTGTCATTAACCTGTAGCCCGCTCAGGAACACTTGCTGGTGTGTGAGCCCCAGGGGTGGGTTGGGAATAAATCACTGGAGTGTGTCATTTTGGTTTCTGCAGTGAGGATCTCTGTCCAGCTGAAAGCCAGTTTCATTTCTTAGTGGTCTATAATGAGAGTAGCATTTTGTCACTGGAAAGTTTTCTTTGTCCTGCAGAAGTCCCTTATTGAGCCATTGGCTCCTAAAGAAGGCAGGTGGTTATTTCAGAATGGAAACAGCTATTGGAAAAGTTTTCCTTTTCAAAATCTACCCAAACCATTGATCATGGGAAACCTTGCTTTTACCACATTCTTTCAGAATTGAGTACTGAAGCTGCAAAGGATGCAGCTTTTGTGTAGAAGTTTTTAAAAACTATTCTTCCACACGGATTTTCTTTGCTGCTGCCTCATCCCTGAGAGCTGATAACAAATGGTCTTATCGAGAGCTACTGTTGGTGGCATGGTAGGACTGCCAGGCCTTTCCTTCTTTCACTGTGGCCTGGAGATGCAGGAGTATGAAAGATTTAGCTCCCAGGGGACCCTCACAGCAGCTGTGTTTCTGCACAGACTGTCACTGGATGACACAAAACATCGCAAATCTCTGCATCAGCACATCCTAAAAAGGGCTGTGCAGTGTGCTGGCTTCACCTCCATACCTTGTGTGACTGTACAAACAGATCCTGTTGGCAAATTCCTGGGGGAAGTGTGTGAGAGGGAGCAGGAGTGAGCCTTTTGAGTAGAAGGTAATGAAGTTGTCAGGTCCCTTTCCCTGCAAATGAAAATCAGCTGATGGTGTTGACACATACTGGGTCCTGCCTGTTTCCCTTTAGGAGTTTTATCACCACTCATCATTATGATCTCCATAATTTCTACTACCTGGGTTTTGGAAAAAGTGAAACTTTGGAAATCCAAAGCAAAACACTGCTGGAAAATGGCTTTGTGCTGTAAACAAGCAGGGCAGCCCCGCTGGGGGAGAGGCTGTTGTGGAGGATGCGCCGTTCCCATGGCAACGCTGAAAACCTTCCCAGCAGGGTCTGCCACAGCAAGAGAGAGATGGAGAAAGAGAGAGGCCGTGGGGGAATTGTGCTCTTCTCACCCTTGCCCTGTAGTGTCCAGCCGGGGACTAAGCAGTTCTCTTCTGCATTTGAAACAGGTCGTGTTTAAAGACAATTTTTTACGTGGTATCTTCATAGGCCCATCAGCTCCCTGAGAGTCCTGGTATGTGGGATTGCATTCATCTGAAGAATGAGGATCTGCTTACTTCCATAAGGAAAGGGCCCTGGCACGTTTAGAAACAAAAGATAAACTATGCCCAGAAATGGAACCAAAGGTAAAGAAAAAGAACAACAAAAAATTTAATTTTCTTAAAGAGCTGTGTTGTTCTAATGATGAACTGTTCCTTTTGTGAGTTGAGCATATTCTGCTGGAATGGCAGGAGTTAGCAATACTTCTCCATAACTGAGACTATTCTGTTATCTCTAGCTTTCCAAACATTTTTTTTGTCCTTTATTCTTAATTTTGAGTATTTTGAGTCTTTAAGTATTAAGATCACTGACTCTCCTTTTTTTTCCTTTTTTTTCCTTTTTTTTTTTTTTTTAAGAACACTCATCCCCCAAAAGGTTTGAGTAGCACATGCTCATTATTGATACCTGGCCTTATCTGAAAATGTCAATAATTTGATATCAGGCTCAGCACTCTGATGTCTCCCAAGCAGTGCCAGCTGAAGCAGGGTGGCAAGGCTGGGACCTGTTCAGCTCCTGGCCTCTTACAAACTGCAGCTCTTCTCTGTTTCACCGTCTCACTGTCAGCCCTCACCATTCCTGTGCAGGGCCCCTCAGGAAGATGCTCTGGATGCTCATCCTGTCCTGCATCTACGTGCAGCGAGCAGCTCCTCCGGCCTCTCCCCTGATCTCATTAAAGCTCTGGTTTTAGCCGTGGGAATTTGTAATTTTTTTGTTGTTGTTGCTGCTACTGCTGGTTTTCTGCATCACTACTCATAATTAAAGTGACAGCTCTTGAACTAGTGTGTCAAAACAGCATGATTTAGTCAGAAAAGTACTGGGAAGATCATCTCTAATCAGACAACAGTGATTCATGTTTAACTAGGTACAGGCAAACCCTGGATCCTGCTGGCGCCTGGAGGAGCCTCCCCAGGGACAGGGTGTTGGTGGCAGCTCGCACACCTGGGCCCCACTGCTGGGGTTCATGGTGGAAACCGTTTGACATGGCTTGTGCTTGTGCCAGGGCTGCAGCTGACAGCTCTGAACCTTAGCAAAGCTCTTCAGACCAATTTTCTAGAAGCTGTAAGGAAAAAACCAAAAAAAGAAATGTAAAGGAAATTATTTTGGTTTGGAAATCAATTGATATTTCCCAGTTGGCTGGACATTACTTGTTTCCAGAAGTTCAAGCTCTTTGTTCCCTGGTCTCTTGGCATCACAAACCAGGTATGCCAGTCCTGAAGGAATCTCAGTGCAGAAATGTCAGGTGTGGGTGATGTTTGCAGCCACAGGAATGTGCATCTCCCTGTGGTGTGTGGGGCAAGAGGGGCACAGGGCTGGGCAAGCATCCTGAGAGCTTCTGACTCTGCTTGCTCTACTCCCAACCTTCATCTTGGTCAAGTTCCCACCCTTCCTCCTGCTTTTTCTGCTCTGTGCTGTGCTGGCTGCATTCCCAGGGCTGTGGATACCCAGTACATGCACATCTATCTGTGTGTCATTGCTGTTTGTGTAAATGTCCTGTGGCCCCCCCCATGGCAGCTGCCCATGGGGAGGCCTTTAAATCAGTCCTGATTACAATGGCTGCTCTCCAGCATCCTGGTCTGCAGGGTACAAGCATCCTGGATTAATGGCAATATTTTTATATTGCCTTAAATAAACTTCCATTCTTGACCAGAGTGTTGTACTTCATTACACTGGAATGTTAAATGCAGTGTTTATCTGCAGAGCTATGCAATCTTACAATAACAACATTTGATGCTGCTTAGATTAAAGGGCTCTGGTTTCAAGGGCAGAAAGGATTTCTAGCTGGAAGGAACCAGCCCTTCAGTGCTTAGGTACCACATAGCAGGAACCTGAGATTCCAGTTCATTTCCCAGGAAAGTTTCCAGCCCTGAAGTCAGTGACCTTTGTGAGAGGATCACTGGAGTGACAGACTGGTGCTGGTCCAGCAGGCACCTCCTGTGCTGCTCCTGCTTCTGAGACAATGAGCTCTCCATGCTAGGGATAGGAGCTTTGATTCCAGCACAGGTGGCCTGAGCTGAGAAACAGGAGTGAGTGCGGGTGTGCTGCCCCGTGAAGGTCACTGAACTGGGAGTTTGGTCCTCAGGTGCAACAGCTGGGATAGTGCAGTGGCTCCAGGAGTGGCTTTGGGCAGCCCAAGTGCTGCTAGGATCTCTGCCAGGATGGAGGTGAGTATACATGACACTCTTGTGAATTGTTCAAAGAACTTCGTGGGTGGGAGAGGAAAGAAAGGGGTGATGAGGATGCCTTTTTCTACTGTGCTCTCATACAGTGGAAATCTGATGACTGGGAGCTATTGAAATGCTTATAATTGTCTCATTAGAGACAGAAAATTTAATTAAAAGGATAGCAATCTCTCTCCAAATTCCAAACATTGCAGTCTGTCTTTGAAAGCAATTTTGGCTATTAGCACAGGTGGTAAAGTCCCAGCAATTGAACCCAATCTAATTGCTGTGTCAAACCACTAAGGAGAAGAAATGAGTTCCCTTCCAGATGCCACCAGACACATGTGCTGCGTGGGGAGGGGGCACGGGCAGCCCAGGCAGGAGCAGAGGGCTCTGTCTGTGCCAGGTGGGGCTGGCTGCAGATGGCACCCAGAGCTCTGATGCTGTGCTCGAGCAGCTCAGCCAAGTGCCCTCCCAGACAAGAGAAAATCACTCACACCTTCTTCAGGTTTTGCTCAGATGTCGAGGAAAAAGAGCATTCCTTAAATTTGCCAGCCAAGCTGTGTGAGTGGGACAGCTGGGTGTGAGCCTTCCCTCTCCCAGGCCAAGCAGTGCCTGGGCACCTGGGCCCCTTTGTGCAGAGCCAGGGCGTTCGTCCAGGGTGCTGTGAGTTCTGAGCTTTCGGCGCTTCCCAAAAGGCCTTCAGTTCTTCAGAGCCTTACAGATATTGCAACAAATGTGGTTTTGTATTTCTCAGACGTTATGAGGTTGACCGAAACATTTGGCACGTGAAGCTTAACTTCAACACCTCACGTATTTCCTTTGAGAGAAAATGTGCAAAACTCTGCTCTCTTGCTCTCCCATTGAGTTGCATGTATTGCTTTTCTTCTGGAATCAAAATGAGAAGGACTGAAGTGCAGAGAAAAAAAATCTTCCTGAGTCTTCCTTACCCCATGAAAATGGAGCTGTGAGCATCACTGGGGTGGAAGCAATGGCTCAGGGCTGCCCGTGTGTCTGTGCTGGCAGAGTCTGATCCCACAGCAGCCAGAGCCCCTCTGGCACATCCTGCTGCTCCTCTGCCAGGTGGGGCC